ATATGGATTGTCAATTTGCGGAGGTGGTGGTCACCGTAGTTGCCGTTGGCTTGTTTTTTCCCAAGCATAAATATCAGTAATGGAAGTCACCGTCATCCCAAGTAGAACCATAGTGTTTACTATCATCGACTACATGTCCAACATATAACGACCCTTTCCCGAAAAGTCCAGGTCAATGCCATGCACTCAGTTCGTAGCTATCCTTTTCTCCATCATTATTGTTGCGTCAAAACCCCACGCTGTCGCTGATTTTAGGTCATCACTGTCATGTTGGTTTTTCTTTTCTTTTCTTTTCTTTAATTATACATACCACTCAATTATATGTTAGATAAATTGTAGTATATCATTTTTTTAAACATTACAAATTAATTATTTAATTAAAACATTATTATAAATAAATTATTGATTGTTAAATGTTACATGAAATAATTGTGTAATATAGTATAATAATAGTTTTGGTTTCAAAATTTATCCATTTTATTAATTTGATCATAATTCAAAATAATTTAATAAATTTAATCTTTTATAATTAAAAATTCTATTAATTTAATCTGTGTTCTTCTCTCATAAATATTATATCATTTTCTCTTACTGTTCTCATATAATGATAGTTTAACAGTTATTTGTTTTTTTATTTTATTTTATTGATAGTATTTTGATCTGATGACTTTGTTTCGTTTAACACTATCACAAAAAAAAAATTAAGGCTTGATATAAAAATAATTATCCAAACTATATCATTTAGGTGCGTAAATTATTTTTCGGTTAATCCAGGTGTCTAACGTTACAAACATTATCATTTTAAGTGTCTCGGGCATAATGACTATTAAAAATTTTCGTTAAGTGACATATGTCATGTTTTGATAATTTAGAAATTTTTATTCAAAATAAGAAAACTTAAAAATATATTTTCTTTGAAAAAAACTTAAATTTTAAAAATTTAAAAAAAATCAAAACTTTCAAAACCTTTACTCCAAAGCATACGCTTGCCACCGTGTAGGGAGAGAGGAGGGCGGGACGGGAGGGGGACTGGGGGATGAGAGAGAGGGGCCTGGGGAGGGGACAGCGGGAGAAAGGGAAGCTGGGTTTTTTTTTTTAAATATAATAATTTATTTTTATGTTTTCTTAAATAAAATCTTCAAAATTATCAAAATAAGATACGTTTCTTTTAACATGATTTTTTAACGAATGTTACGGTCATGACTCTTAAAAAATAGTAACATTTATAATGTTAGACACCAGAATTGATTGAAAAATAGATTAGACATCTAAATGGAAAAATCATATAATTTGAGTACTTATTTTTACATTAAACCAAATTTTAATTATAAATAGTTAAATTTAAAATTATTTTAAATTAATAAGACCGAATTAAGAGAATGTATAAATTAAGAAGTTTTAAACTATTACTGTCTTAAGTAATATTATACATTTATTTTAAATTTTAAAAACAAATTATATGTTTATAATAATATTTTAAATAATAGATTTTTTAAAGAAAAAACTCATTTGTTATTTTTAACCATGTAATTATCATATGTAATTTGGTAAGTCTCTAGATATGTTTGAAATGTTATGTTGAAGATCACTGAAACTGATGGAACGAGTCGTGATTGATTTTTTTCCAAATGAGATCTGTAATGGCAGCTCCAGACTGCTAACTTTCACGTGCGCCTAAAAGCTTACCCAGTGATAAAGGATCAAACATAAGCTGTTTGAAACCAGATAAACAAAAAGAAACCAAAAGTTTCACTGTAATATGTTCTTGGGATCACCACAAATTCTCTTTCAAATTTTATACCTTCAACAAAGATAAAACCTGCTTTAGCTAAAGCTGCTGCCACTGTCTCCCAGCTGCTCCTGCGTTTTCCCACTTTGTCTTTTTTTCTTTCACCTCTCATGTCCAAAGCAAGATTTCGGTCTATGGGTAAATATCTATGCAGATCAAAAGTGTGGGGTACCTAAACGTGGAGAGAAATAAATGGTGATGATGGATTGGGGTCACACTCACACGTGTGCATGCAGCTGACAGGTTCTGGACATGTTTGTTACCCACCACTTCACGTGCGCCCAATCCTAAAAGCTCCGTTTCCTCTTCAATTTCGTTCACTCTTTTTTATTTCTGTCCAGTTTCCACTCATCGCATTCACACGCTTGTAAACAGTTAACTGGAGTTCCTTTAGTTTAGTGGTAAGCAATCGCATGCTTTGGTTGGTGCTAGTGCATGTGTTGGACCCACTTTCATCTTTTCTTTTTCCTCTCCTTCTCAATTTCTCCTTTAGATTTTAATTTTTGAATTTAGATATTCTGGACCTGTTTCCTCCCTTAATTCACTTAATATTCTTATTTTTATAATATGTAATTATAAACTCAAACATATATAAATACTTTGATATAAATGTTGGTAATGATTAAGATGATAAAGGGATGAATCGATTTTTGATGAGTTTATAAAAAGTATTCCCTTATCTTTCTTGTTGAGTGTAAAGTGATAAGTTCCTATTTATCATAAGCGTTTTAATGCCTCATTTTTACAATAATCATCCCAATAAATATATATCATATTCTTAATAAATAAACTTAAATAAAAAGGAAGTTGTAAATTTCTAGCTAAGCTTATAAGATCAACATACTGTACAAAGCCTTAAAAGACTGGAAGTAAAAGCCTTTCTCAATCATGCAAAGCGGTACACCTCCCTGTTTAATAGAAGTATATTTACACCTATTAATGAAAAAATTACTCTGCTTTTCACTATTAATTGGACTTAAAACATTTTATATACAAAGTAAAAAGTTTTGTCCTAAACGTGTCTATAAGCTAAATCAATTTTATTAACAAATCTAATCTTCGTTTTTCCAATAAAGCAAAAGAAAAGTATACTTTTAACTTCCCAAATCTTGATTGTAAAAGAAAACCTCTTCCATAACCACTTTCACAGAAAAAAAAAATAATGGGTAATTAATTACCAATAATACTTATATTCCACATGCTATCAAAGAAATTCTTCAATAAATAAAGAAATTTACAATAATACATTATAATATATATGTTTTTAAATGTTTTTCATAATTCTATTTTAAGGTTCACCTTTACAGTTTATGACCGTTTGTTTCAATAATATTATACCAAAAATTTAAATTTTAGTATTGAAAATACAATATAATTTATCACTACACTCAATTATCAGCATGTTTTGATGCATATCTAATAAAGTTTTTACCAATTATTTTTACAGTGCCAAGAAGAGAGTGGAAGATTACCTTAGACCTAACCATGTAAAACAGCACCTTAACAAAATTTGAAGATGAAAGTCCAGTCATGCATATATTATTTTCTTGGGGACAAATACAACTCGGTTACTGCATGCATATCTTGTTGACCCGGTATGTACCCTTTTGCATGGACAGCTACATGAAGATTGTCGAGCCAATACGAAAGGCATTTGTGGTGAGGCGAGCTCACCCCCTAATCCCATAACTGGTCTTGGTTTGATCAGCTAGGGTTTGCATGGTTGTTGAGTAACATGTATATTTATAGACGCGTCGTCTAGAAGCGCAATTAAGGTGATGATAGTTACCATTCTTGTTATTTATTAGTTGATGTCCTTTCCTTGTCCGGGGAGCAAAATTGGCGTCGTTCGCAAATGAATGATCATGGATCTGCCAAATTTCATACTCCTCTGGATTTGGAGTTTTGTGCACTCTAAACAACCAGGTATTTATTTTCTTCTTAATTTACAACAAAAGTCTACGGTTGCCTTTTTTTCTTACAATATTGTTTCCAATAATACTGTCTTTTAATTATAGTCGGCAACTAATGAGGTTCTTTGCATAGATTTTATGATTTCACCCGTTCTTCGATTCATTTGGAAATTGGAAAGAATTGATGACATCGTTTCAAGAAATATTTAGATAATAAATACATTCATTAATGTGACCATGATACTAATAAAAATGATAAGGATATGATTTAGTTTCCTTAGTTATCTATGTTGTGATAATTGATACTTCATTTTAGCTGATGATGATGTTCATTTATAGTATTTTTAGTAGGAAGATTCAAGCATAAATGAAGACCTTCTTTATCTCACTTGTATCATCAACTTCTCAAGAAATCAAAACACTTACTTTAAAAGTCATTCATCTTTTTTTTTTCTCTTTTTTTTTTATTTTTATTTTCTTAATTCTGTATATTTTAGTTCCTTGACAATTATTTATGATTTTTATATTTATTTAATAAATTAACTTAAGTATTTGATTTACGTCGGATACCAATGATTATAGAATAAAAAAAACAAATGCAATATATTAGAGAATCAATTTGTTTTTATATGTAAAAAATAAGTGAAACTTTGGAGTGAAGGCAGCATAATTTGACATCCAAGTTAAGCGCTTAAGAGGATGAAAGATTAGATCCCTTTTGGCCAGTGCTTTGAAGACCATGCATGCGTATATATCTTCCCCTCCCGTTTCTTTTCCATCACCCCTCCATTTTTAGCCCTACAACAAAACTATGTATTCCAATGCCATCACTGGCACCACATATGATATATTTATGTTTTAGCCTTTGATAGATGTGAAATTTTGACTAATAGTCAATAAACAAACATTATTAAATTAGTTTATTTTATTTATTAATTTGAAATTCAAACATTATTATTTATAAAATTTAACATTTTTTCCCGTTATGATTGAAGAGTAGTGTCATTTTGAAGCAATGAGGAAAGACCCACAATTTTGACAGCAAAAAAAGGAGAAAAAAAAAGCTTTATTTTGATGATGATAAGGCATCAATGTAGAAAATCTGCCTTTTACTTTTCACCTCATCTTCAATCGTTTTTCACCTCTATCCCTATTTATTTTTCTTTGTCTCGCGTGTGAGGCTGTGAGCCACCGGTTTCAGATTCTCCAATCACTTTAGTTAATTTCTGGACAATGATCATCATTCGTTCATGTTCAAATCGTTTAATCAAACTGAAAGCAAACAAAGATCAAATTTTGGGCCTAAAGTAAAAAGTAATATTATTTTTTATGTAAACCCCCAAACAGTAACTAATGCAACGAGTTAATTACTGCTAATATTACACAATCAGACCATTAGCAATGGCTCGATTAGTATCGAGACGTGTTGTTTCGTACACAGGCAACTCTTCTCGGTACCTTTCAATACCGATAGCTGAAAGATTATTCAATTCAAAGAGATCCGAGCTTGCATAGCTTGCGGTGTCGTCGTCCTCGTCCTCGTCATCGGTGGACATTTGGTTGACATTGCAGATATCTCTCATATTGTATTCTTCCTTCTTCTTATGGTAACTATTTAAAAGATCCTTTGCAGCTTCTACAACTCGGCGATTTTCTTCCATGATCCGGATCTCGAGCTCTTTGCTTGTCCGTTTTGATGTTATGGACGTTTGCGTTTGATGATCATTTTCGTGGCCTATGTTCTCATCGTCAAGAATAACGTCATTGACGGGACAAAACCTGACCGACCTTTTGGTCCCATTCCCTCTCGAAGATGGAGTCTTGCTCAGACAAGATCTCGAAAACGAGGAAGCCGAAGAACATGTCGGTGTTGCCTGGTCGGATTTTGACTTCGTTTCCTCGTACTTTGACGATGAAATCTTTGTCTTCTTTGTATTCCCTGCCGTGAAAAGCGCGTTCAGGAAGCTTGCAAGTTTACCACCCGGAGATATCGGCTGCTTAACTTTTTTGAGGTCACTGTAAATCTTCAAGGCCTTGTATTTTGTTCTGACGAAACCACCTTCATGCTTAGGCTTTTGCTGGGTAGCGCCATGGAAACTGTTTTCGACTTCAGGCTGCCGAGCTGAGACGCCGGTCCGAATAGGCTTAGGCCTATGAGAGGTGTAATGGCTTGACGCTAAAGATGATGACCTTGATTTTGCACCGTGAAAGGAATCTGACTCGGAGGATGAAAACCCACCACCGGAACTAGAATCGGAAGAGCTGGAACTGGAGTTCAACAGCACCGGAACAAAGTCAATTCGAGAATTTCTCTCGAAATCCGCCATGGGTTTTCGTCTGATGACAACATTATTATCATCACCCTTCTTTTCCATCCATTTCTCGATCATGCAAGCACGTTGGAGGCTCGTCATTTCTTCATCCTTCAACGAACGGTGGTTGTTGTGCTTCTTCGCCATGCTAGCCTCTCTGTAGAAAATCAGATCTTTTGCTTCGCCACCGTTGGGTTCATCAATCGAACGGTAGATAGAATCGAGAAGAGTTGAAGAGAATGATGGGCTTTCTCTCCTGTACCGATGTTGTTCTGGCAATTTAACCCACAGATCCATATGGCTTTATAGACTGAAAATATAGAGAAAAGAGAAAAGAAGGAAGAAACAAGAGAATCGATCAGTGGGATTTGAATGATATTGTCTCCTTCAAAGAATGTCAAAAGCTGGCAGGAAGGTGAAAGGGAAAGAGATTATTAATGAGCATGGTTAATCATGTGGAGAGACATATTGAAGACAAACACTGGCTCGCTTCTCTCACTTTCTCTTCTTTTTTTGGCTCAAAGCAGACAATTTCATTGATGGGTTCTTGCTGGCTGCCAGAGAGAGGCAGAGGAAAGAAAGTGTAATGAAAGCCAAAGGCCACGCCTCAAGCCAACAGAGTATTAACCGAGACGTTGATGATTTGAGAGAGAGAGGAATAGAGAATATTTACGACCATTTATAAAGCCCTACACACACTTGAACAAGTGGATCCTAGCTGGCACCAATGCCTGCCAGGTGGAATAATGATGTGGCAAATTTAGTACAACCTTGTTTGTTTAGTATATTATACAAATCTCCAGAATATAATTTATGTTCAGAACTTAAATTTATCTTATTAAAATTTAGAAATAGTATTTAAATTATTTTTTATTTTACTTCAAAAAAATTATAGAAATCTGATTGGCACATACTATGTGTCATATTGTTATTTAATATATATATATATTTTAAACAGACCAAATACCTAAATAGAAAAAAATATATAATTGAAGGACCGATTTTACTGCTAAACCTTTTTCAAAAAATGATATATACGGTAATTGGTAATCCCGTTCATGTAGCGAATCCGCAATATGATTGTATATTAATGAACACAAAATCACAATTAATTAGCTTATCATAATCACCATTTTTACTATCCTTAAGCAGTGAACATGGATCACAATTATGGGGTTTAACAATAATTGACGAAAACACAGTCCATTGAATTAGCAATCTAGCAAAATCATACAACATTGTTTTGTTTTTCTTTTATGTTTGTTGGGGGAGAGATAGAGTTGTGATGATTTTTGGTGGTTTATTTATTTTTTAATTTGGACATAGAACTGTAGATGATTGTTTAGTGGAGTTAAGAGAGATACTCTAGAGAGAGAGAGTGCGCCTTTTTCTTTCTTCATCCTTACAATGTGATTTACATATAAATTATTAGGGTTCGAGTGAGTCATAGGATAATGATGATTATTTGTAAATTTATAAGGTAAATTAGATTTAACTGTCATATAATATAATTAGTTGGTAGATTATATGTGCATGTCAAGATGTTGTAACTAATTGGAGGATATAAAACTGCAAAAAACTTTGAAGAATTCCGTAATATTATAAAAGAAAGATGACAATGAAAATGTGACTTGTGAGGAGAATTCGGAAGAAATCTAATAATGATATTTGTAAATTTTATCTTAAAATTTATAAGATATAAAATTGTCACCATTTGTCCTAGACGTTATGGGCACTCTTAGCCTTCTCTACGCAATAAATTTGCTGTCATGACCAATTCCTATTTCCTAACACATAAGCATTTCCCATTAGATGGTAGACAACGCTTTTCAATGATTGCTCTTCGAAATCATAATTTGCTGCTACACTACTCTCAATAATTACTTTTCGATTTCCATTACAATCACAAGAATGGCTTAATTAGGATACAAATATTTCAATTAATCGAATTAATTCAAGATCTTGTTACCCTTAAATAAATATAACAAGTTGTATCGTAGTATATACATATGAAGATATCGATGTATGAATTTCGTTATGTATTTGATTTGGTGCATATGCATAGCCTAGTGGCATATATATACCTTATCGAATGATCTGTTGAGATAGTGATTCATGCACGAGATCTTTTTTAGCAGCAATGCAACTGTAATGTATTAAAATACAGTGCATCCCACAAAGATATGGGAAGTTTGGCATATAGTTAGTAGCAATGCAAGTGAGAAAGGGAATTTATTCAATTTCTTTTAGGTGTATCGGAACCAATTCGGTTGGAAAGAGATGCTTTAACAAAAGGGTTTAGGGTGAATATTAAATTAAGAGGAGAGCATGTTGGTGCTTATTTCTACAATGATAACACTCGTGGCTCCTAACCTTTATGGAAGATTAGGATGCCAAGCCTTAAACATAGGGCAAAGCCAATGTGAATGTCATAAAGGATCTACATAATTTAATCAATTTATACTATAACTTTCTTTTAAAAATTGCATCGCAAAATAAAAAATAATGATTAAAAGAATATAAATATAAATAAATAAAAAGGAAAGGTTGGAAAGAAAGCAAACGTGCGTGAGCAAGGTTCTCATGATGGGTTATTCCCAAGTATAGGTCTTCCCTTCAAACTCACGAAATTTCATACTTCATTATTATACTATTCGACCGCATCTTTGCACTCATCAAAGTTTCGATAAATGAACCTAAATATTGAATTCAATTTCTTGCTTGCAAAGATATACATTATAATATCTATGTTAGTAAATTTAATAGGGTTTGAACTATATACACATATGATTTAATTAATAATAACGCTCTCTTTTAGTCTTTTTTATGTTAAAAAGTAACGAATGAAAGAGCTATAATGAAGACTTTATATCGGGTAAGAGAAGGGACAAAGCAGATTAAGGGTTTTATTTGGGAGAGAAACTAGGGTTTGTGTATGAAAAACAAAAGGTGGAGAGATTCCTTTGAGATGATGGGGGAGGGCCGATTTGATATGTGATATATGATGAAAAACGAGAGATTCCATTTAGATCAATCAATACCAGTCTGTGTGTGTCGGGACAAAATAATTCTACTATATTTTCACTGGCACGAATCAAACGACTTTGGTAGTAAATAGATCAATATTATCTCTAAAAGTTTCGAGTTCTAGTATGATGCTTGTAGGGATGTTTGAGTGTTAATTGTCAAATGATTAAGAATCTTTAGAACATATACTACATTATAATCATCCATAGATAGATATTTTCCAGAAATTGAAAAAGTTTGTTTCCATTGCCATCATCCCACCCAAGAATTCAACCCGGTGGATGTAGACTCCAGCTTCTACCATCCCCTTGGATTTGACATATCAATCAGCATTATCTTCGGTCCCCAAGCTATTTGTAAATTTGTAGTTGGGGTATTTACTAATGATTAGATTTAGCTCAAAGTTGATAATTTTAATTATTGAATGAAGATGCACATAATCATATTGATTTAGTTTCGATCAAGTTCACCAACTGTTTATAGATATTACAAAATCAATCAAACTATATAGCTCATAATTAAAATGCTAAAACCCTAATTGCCATGAGTGATATAAGGCCTAGGGTTTATAGATGGTTTAAACCAATCATGATGAATCAGACTGCAAAGTGCATTATGAGGTTTGTGAGTATAGGGAATCATTCCATTTAAAAATAATAATAACAATCTTAAAACCTGATCAGCTGTTATTTGCATATACGAATTCACCTCTTAAGGCTAATTATTATATATGAGCGGGTGAGTTACGTTTGAACATGTTTAATTTGAAAGAAACTAGGTGATATTAAAAGTTGAAAGAGCACGATTACTTGCTCCGAACGCGAGCAACGCTTTCCTTTCCTCACCAGGCTCCGAGTTTTATAACGTCACGCGAACGCTTCAATCGTCTATAATATATGACATTAGATCCTTTAAACGATGTCAGATATTTGAATTATAACGTTGTGAATAGAGAAAAATAAATTAAGATAATCTTCCTCATAATTAGTCTATACAATATCTTATTCGGGTTACTCCATCAATGAATTATATACCAGTAATTATATATATAAAGTTAAAAGAGCATGAAAGTATATGTTATGGTGAGCAAGGCAAGCAAAGAGAAGGATTTGAATCCACAGGACATTGGTAGAAGATAAAGCATAAAGGAAAGATTATTCCTTGAGGATGAACTAAAGAAAAGAAAAAGGAGAGTGGGGTTTGGGCTTTCTTGGGTTGGTTCTTAGTGTATGGAAGAAACCATGCAAGGGCAGCAACCCAACCAGTGTGATGGAAAAAGAAAAAGGAAAATGAAACGTGTTGGAGATCCCGAGGAAGAAAGCACCTTGCACTCCTCTCTACAGAACAAATCCCATCCAAACATTAACAAAAAAGATCCCCAAAGATCATCCCATGACTTTTCAAAAACCAACTAAAGCACATGCGTGAATCCATTGCTGCCTCCTACGGTACTGGTTTACGAAACATCAAAATAATATGTTTAGTCAGTCAAGCACACATACAATCCCACAAAACTATATATGGAAGAACTAAATATTTTCCACAAAACTAAGTCAATGCTCGGAGAAATGTAAAAATCAAAGAGCATACTCACGGTGAATTTTGTTCAGTACTTTTCAGTTCAATACATTCTTTATAACCCATAGGAGTGGGGCACAGTCATCGATTGTGGACTACAAACGTATAAACAGCGAGTAAGTGGCTATAGGTGAATAGGAACCCTAAACCAGGTACATCAGAAATTCAAGAACCTTCAAGTTACAGTTATTAGTGCCAAAATTTAGTTTATCTGAGGCTCATACTCCACTAGCTATCAGAGTGAATAAAATTTATTTAGCTGTTGAATCCCGTGCATGAGACCATTTGCATTATGCTGAGAACCACCTCCTGGCATGAGCATGAACTTGGGGATACACCTTTTCTGAAATGAATACAGCATTAATTCTAAATCATGTTACTACCACTAACCTCCTGATGGGATGGTAGACCCTGTCTCTTGCAGTATCTTCTTTTGCAGGTCCAAAATAGTGAAATCATAGCCAGTTTGGGGAACAAACCCTGCTACGAAACGTCACATCAGAAAATTCCAATACAATGAAATTTCATAGAAGCTTGTTCGAGCACATCAAATTTGGAATTTATGAAACCTATCATAACATCATACTTACCGAGAGACTAGGTAACCCCGGAGTATCTTGCTCCTGCTGTGTCTCTTAAGGAGTATTCTCTGGGACCATTCGGGTATCAGCATAACTGTCGAAATTGTGGGGTTGAAGCGCCTTTCTTATCAGGAAACTGTTGCTCATATGAACCACTGAGGGTGAAGAATCAGATCCAGAATTTCTAAGTTGATCATCTAAAATGTCAAAAGTATTGCCACCACCAGCATAATCCCAAAAAGTATCGGCAGCAGACACAGACACACTGTTCAGATCAAATATATTTAGAACATCAGAAACAGGCTTTTGACTCAGACAAAATCTTAACTGTAGACTCTACGAAATGTACATATTTACTTGAGAAAAGAGCAACCAGAAGTAGATCCCCATTTGAATCTTCTGCAACACCAGTGGTTTTAAAACCTGGCACAAAATTTCCACCCCAAAGATGCCAAGAAGAATTCAACAGCGAT